AGCTTGCACTGACACTAGTACCCATGGCTTGAAGGGATAGGCAGGCTCTGGAATATCCCAGTAAGCAGTAAGACAAGCAGGGGAAAGCTGCAGTCCCACTAACCTCAGGCCCAGTTCAGCTGGTCTCAGCTTCCCGGTGCTGGGATTTCCCAAGCAGCCAGTCCCCACATGGGACCAGGGGCAATGCATTCCTGTGGCTGCAGCCCCAGTTCTCCCACTGCAGAGCCATTTCTTGTAAAAACCACTTGGAAATCCCAACTGAGACAGCACTTCCGGGTTCAGAAACAGCCAAATGTCCCTGGACTCTCACCCTCTCCCAAAGCAAACTCAAGCAAGTCCCTGGGAATGGGACAAACAGCAGTCTATCAGCCTTAAGGCCAGCCTCCTCCTTCCTGGGACAGCAGCCTGGAGCACTACCTACCGGCTGCATCAAGCAGCAGGTTCCTGGGATTGAGGTCCCGGCACAACACGCCCTGTTGGTGAAGTCCCTCTAAGGCCAGGAGGATTTCTGCTGCCCACAGCTGCACCTGCTCCTCCTTCACAGCCCAAGCTCTCTGGCTGTGCCCATGGGAAGCCAGAAACTGGCCTTGTCCTGAAAGTGGCTGCTCTCTGAGCTGGCCACAGGCCAGGCTTGCTCCCCGCGAGGAGTCCTGCACTGCTGTGTCAGGACCACGAGCCTTGATGGAGCTGGATGGGGCAAATCCTGCACGAAGCTGCCTCTGACCCAAGGAGGTCAGGAGATGCTGAGCCCAGGGGACCTCAGGCACTTGTTGAGATGGAAGCTCCTCTGCCCCTGGCTGGCCCACTCTCGCAGCCTTTGGTACAGGGCCAGGTGTCTGAAGAAGCTTCTCACTGGCACATGGGCCAGGATCTTGTTGGGAAGCTGTGCTCCCCAATACACAGCCCGTGCCACTGGTTTGACTGTCCCAGGGGTAGGTGATGAGGCCTTGGTTGCTAAGGTGGCCAGGGCCTTTGGCTGATGCTGCTGGAACATGGTCAATAACACCAGACACAGCCTGGGTCACACTTAGATCCTGCCCTCCAGGTGCAGCCCTCAGGACACCAGCAGGAGCCAGGTGAAGCTGGCAGTGGTTCCCCAGGCTGGGGTCCCTGGGGTTGGGGAACTGCTCCTGAGGGGCCGAGGCATCTGTGCTTCCCAGCGCCTGATGGGCTGCACAGCCTGGGAGGCCACTGCCTGTCTGAGCAGAGAAGATGGAGACTTGACTGCTGTCCTGGGAGCTTCCCACGCCGTCAACTCTGCCATGGTCCCTCAGGGCTTGACTGGTGTTTGAACGGGCAGAGCCCTGCTGGACACAGTACTTGGAGCGGAGGTGAGACCACAGCGTCTCCCCTGGAAAGCAGAGAGAACACGTGATGGGGCAGAAAGCATCCCTGGTCCCCTGGCTGCAGGCACGGCCCATTCAGGCACAGGGGAAGGCCCACATGCTGGCAACGTAACCAAGATTTGTTAACCTCCCCAGGAAAGCTGAAGTCCATGCAGAGTACTCCCCAGCCCTACAAGCACACCTGCTCCACATGACACCTCCACCAGGATTTGGCAGACCAAAGGTTCATTCCCCTCTCCTTCAGCAGCCCTGATCCCCCTTCTGCACAGCCTCCTTGATTCCAGCTCTGCCACTTAGAAGTCACTGGCCAGATACATCTTCACACATGCCCCTGATCCCACCGCCATTCTCACTTTCCCCTGAAAGCCTTTCCTCCCCACATGACAGCCATGCTAGAGAGGTCTCACAGCATGGCACAGAGCCCATGGGTCAGCAGTGAGCCAGAGCAGTGAGGCCTGGAGCCCATACCACACTGCTGGAGCTTCCCAGCCTCACCACATTCAGCTGCTGGCTGCTTTCTGCAGTCCCTCCTACTGTGACGCATGAGGAGCTGAGGCTGTTCTCCAACATGTCAGCCTCCCTCAGCTGCTGCTCCCTACTTTTCCACAAAACCAGCAGAGAAGCTCCTTGCAACAAGCCTCCACCTTGTCACACTTCTTCACCAGGATCTGGGACAAGCCCCAAGCTTGCCTCTTTGTTGCACCCAAACCCCAGTATGCTCCCTGCTCTTTATGCCTTCCATCTCCTCTTTTCGGTCAGATTCCAGTGTGGCCTCTTCTCTTGTAACCAAAACAATGTTTTAGAAAGGTCTTATCAAAATACTGTTTTGTTTTGTTCTACAACATCCAGGTGAACTACCTCACTTGGTTGTCCTTCTCCATCACTCTTCTGTCATGGACAAAAAATGCCAGTAAAATGAAAAGGTTTTTCTTCTCAAGACACTGGACCACAACAATCTCTACCTCAAGGCATGACTGTTCCCTCCCATGGGACACAGTGGTCTCTAAGGCTAGCTTCCACATTATACCCCGACACACACAACCTCTTTCTCCTTGCAGGTCTCCACAGGCCCATTTCTAGGCTACTTCCCCAGTCAGTTCTTACCAAAGCTCCAGAATCCCCCATACAGCTAAACAACTCCCTCCATAAAGTCTCCAAGCCCTGGTACCAATCACCCTTGTATGAAGAGGACAGCTTGTGCTGTCACTATAAAAAACAGTCCCAAACCAGCATAAGAAACATATTTGAGACTTTAGGGAGGCTGGGGATAAGAGCAGGATGCTCCACAAATGGGAGGCAGTGCTGTCCCTACTCACCCTGCACGTGCTCCAGGTGGAGGAAGATGGAGTCCTCACTCACATAGTAGCACAGCAGCTTGACCATGAAGGGGACCCCATGAGGGATGATGGTCTGTCGCTCACGAGTCTCAACATGGGATTTGCGGAGGCTCTGGGGAGGTACAGATGTGTTACAGCACATCTCCCTGCAGTCTAGCACCTGGCAGGGCAGGAGCCAGCCAGAAAGGCAGCCTGCTAAGCCCCATCACCTGCAATGGAGCTCCCTGTCAGCCCCCAGCTGTGAACTGGCAGGGCTCTGCAAAGCTCAGCCAAGGCAAAGTGCTCCCCACCTGCACTGTGGGACCCACAGGACACTGCTGGTCCAGAGCAGTAGCCTTCCCCTACAACTGCCCCTACTGCCTTTGGATGGGAACCCATCATCCCAGCCCTCTGTTCTCTCCCCTCTGAACTGATGCTTCTCCCTCTCATGTCAGAGCCTCCTTGTCCAATTATTAAAGTCCTTTATTTTTAGTTCCAAGGGCACTGGAAAAAGCCCTAGAACCTGTACTGGCCTCACCTACCACCCATTTCAAGGGTTGACTCAGATAAACATGGGCATACAGCTTGGCTTGCAGGATTACAAGGCAGAGGAATGGATGACTAAGGAGAACCTCTTCCCTTCCAATCACAGAAGATGGCCAAGGCAGCCAAAAGAAGCTTTATGAGCAATGAATTTCCTCCAACATTTCTGTGATCTGCTAGTTTTTGGTCCTCTCACCTGCCCCGGGCATCTGCTCAGATAAGGAGGCTCTGGAATGACAGGAAGAAACAGGCAGATGAAACTGAAAACACCCACCTTAAGTATAAAGGTCCCACCAGTGGCTGGATCCTGGACGATCTGCACCTGGGAGCAATATATAAAACATTGTTCAGAAGCAGTGACTGCTCCCACCCCAACATGCAGCCTACAGGAACAACCCATGGACTCAACTCCAGAACAAAAAGCTCCCACCTAACTAGAAGAGTCTGGTGGTGCTCAAACCCCTACTCTTGAAAGACAAAACACAGGCGAGATAGCCACAGAGACAGGGAGTAGAGAGTTAATTTAAAAAAGAGGTGACTCTCACACCAGTTTTGCTTCCTTCACAACAAAGGGTTTTGCACTTCTGGGCCCCATGTGGTGCCCTGTGCTGTCCACCTGGGACTCGGCAGGACAGGAGGGCCACATGAGCCCTGACAAGCTGAGAGGTGTGAATGGCAGAGGAGAGCCACGTGTCAGTGCATGTATGGAGACTGTGAGCAAGCTTCATGCCAAGATCATGAGCTAACAATTACTTGATTCATCTGCATAGTTTGCCTTCTGCTGAAGTCTAGATGATCCATAAGAGTCCAAAGTCATGGTACCTAAGCATCAAGCAGGATTCCATGCATGGAAATAAACTGGATGCATCAGCCTTGTAATTATCTTGCCAGATCTCATAAGCAAAAGGAATGGGCATGCTAACAGATTTCCCAGCTAACTCCTAGAGGGTCTTGCATCCTCACCTGTGAATTTTCCTTGGTGGGAACGGTGTGGATAGTAACACACACATTTCTCAGTGGGTAGGCTGAGGGCCAGCACCCCCACCCCAGCTGCCAGGATCCTCCAGGTTACACTTCCCTTGATCTAGCCCCATCCTCACCCCCTCAGTTGCAGGCTGAGTCATTACCTTATCGATCACTCCCACAACCTTACACGCTCTCAGGTTCTCCACTGCTGAGCTCAGCGTCCTGACGGGCCGGAAGCGCAGGCTGCTGTAACCCTGCAAGGTGGGGAAGGGAAGATGAGGGACCTGGAGATGCTGCTGTCTGTGAGAGTGGGTGGAACAAGTCCCTGCATTTCCCAGAGCAGGCAGCAATACTGCCAGGCTGGCAAACCTCCAGAGATGACTCTCCATCCATAGTGGTTGATTCCTAACATCAGCTGGACTGTTTTCTTGGCCAGCTCCTGGATTTTTTAAGCTTTCAGGGAAAGCCTGCACCTGCAGCAGAGGTAAAATCACTGCAACCCAGACTGCCTCAACACTAAGGGGATCTGCACAGAAGGCAGCTGTCGTTCTCCTTTCCTCCTTCTCACCAGCCCCAGACCATGCTCTGCTTCACTCCTCTCTGCCTTCATTAACCACCACCTTCCCACAGTGCAGCAAGCAGCTGTGGTCTTTGGCTCAATCCAGATGGGAACAGTGTCGGGGAAGATGGCATTCTGAACATCTGACTAGGTGGCTCTCCCTGGTGGCTTCAGTCCCACCAAAACCGCTAATTTTCACTATGACAGCCACAAGTTAAAACATGCACATCGACGGGGGTGTTGCAGGCCTGGGAACAGGCCAGGCAAGCCGGGCCCAGCTCAGTTCCTTGCAGCAGGCAGAGCAAACGGCTGCCAGCTCCCTCGCAGCCACCAGCCCGCCGGGACACCCGCACCTGACGTGCCTGCCATTTTCTCTACGCCACCTCCCCACGACATCTGGCAGAGGCAGTCGGGGAGGCTCAGCAAGGCTGAGCTTTACGCGCGCATCCCCCCGGATCTGCCAGCGACACGGACCCGCCGCCAGCCCACCCGTGCCG